TTAACAGGTTTCAGTGTAGTTATGAAGAAGGAAACGGCTTTTGAAGGGTTGCCTCTGAAAACCCTGTGCATAGAATTGAACCACTGTCAAGACACTGAAGTTCTTATGAAGTAGAACATTTTCAGAAGTAGTGCCAGAGGATGAGTCCTGCGAGTTAGAAGGAATTCAAAATATAATTGAGAAGGAGCAGAGGTTTCAAAATAAAGTGCATCATAATGACAAGAACGGAGAAAAGTCTGGGGGAGGAAAGCCTTCGGGTCTTCATTTGCTGATGGGGCATTACTCAAAACAAGAAACAGTTGTAAACCTCAATTAATAATATGACCTTATAATGTATGGAGTATGAATCCAGGAAAATTGGAAGTCATCAAAATTAAAATGGAACATAGAAATATCAATATCCTAGGTACTAGTGAGCTGAAATAGATTGGTACTGGTCACTTTGAATCGGAAAATCATACGGCTTACTATGCTGGGAATAACACAAGCAAGAGGAGTGAGATTGCATTCATCATCAAAAGGACATTTCAAGATCTATCTTGAAGAACAATGCTGACTTTGATATAAGGATATCTGTTTGCATTCAAGTAAATACAATAAATACAACCATTATTCAAATTTATGTACCAAGCACCAAAGCTGGCGATGAAGAAATTGAAGAATTCTACCACGGTCTGCAGTCAGAAATTGATGAAACATGCAATCAAGATCCATTGATAATTACTGGTCGTTGGAAGGAACAGTGATAGAAAACACAGCCTTGGTGATAGAAATGAATCTGGATCACAGGATGGAATTTTGCAAGACCAACCAATGACTTGCCATAAAAAATGCCTTTTGTTCCCAACAACACAAACTGAGACTATAGACAAGGACTTCTCCAGCTTGAATACACAGAAATCAAATTGACTACATCTGTGGGAAGAGCTGATGGAGAAGCTCAATATCAGCAGCAAAATCCAGGCCAGGAGCTGGCTGTGGAACAGACCACTGACCAAAAAAAAAAAAAGGTATTTGATGAAATCCAATACCCATTCCAAATAAAAATATTTAACAAAACAGTAATTGAACTTCCTCAACATAATCAAGGACATAACCACAAAACCAACAAATAATATTATTGTCATTAGGGATTGAAAGCATTTTGCTTGCAAATGGGAATGAGATAAGGATGCCTTTATGTACTGGGAGACAACTAGAACAGCAAGGCAAGAAATGGACATAAAAGCATCAAAATTGGCGAAGAAATTATAGTACTCAAAGTTAGATATGCTTTACTATCTAAGAAAGGTATTTCATAAGATTCTTTCACAAATATTTTCATGTAACAATTATTTTGGTTTCATCCTACGTGGTACTTTTAGAACTTGTCTACTCTTTGTACTAAAGTCAACCTAAAAGAGAATATGATTTACTTTAAAACCATGGCACTTAGTGGGTTCAGAAAACTGAACAGAAACCAGTGAACATGAAGGGCTTTCTGCTGGTCTTAAGGGCACAGTATCACAACTGCTGCTTTATGGACACCAAAAACAGTGAGATGACCTTTACGAAAGAGTGTCAATAATGCAATGACAAGTACAATGGCAACTACAAACCTGAAATAACCTGCCCTCAAATCACACTTCAAATAAGACCACATATCTAAAGTATCTTTTTGATACCGTTTAAATGTTGTCGTCATTAGTGCCATCACGTCAGTGCCGACCTACAGGTACTTTAGGTACAACAGAATGAAGCACTGCCCGATCCTGCAATTGTTCCTATGCTTGAAACTGGATGCGTAGAGTTTGATACCTGAGGTATTCATGAGAGCTGAAACAGACTGACAGTGGCCATTCTGAATCAGAAAGTCATATGGTTTACTAACTAATCAGGAATGGCCCAATCAAGAGGAATGCCATTGCAGTCATTGTCAAAAAGGATACCTCAAGGTCTATCTTGAAGTACAGTGCAGTGATAGGATCTATCCACGTTCAAGGAAATCCAATCAATACAACTCGTATTCAAATTTAAGCACCAACCATGAAAGCTAGTGAGTAATACATTTTTAAATAGTAACTGTTAATTTCATGACCTGATTACTTAATACTTAGGAGAAAAAAACACAATAAAGTGAAAAATCTATTACAGGCAAACACAAATCTGAGGAAAGGTAGGTAACACAAATCGTTACAAGTATACACATGTACATGTCTTGTATTCAAGTCATAAAAGCTACAACCTTGATCTGCTATGTTCAAAACTATTCTGTGTGCAGTTGCTCCTTTAAAGACAGCCCAATCTTCTTTAAAAAAAAATACAGATATTGTTTACTGTCTTATTACACAATTAAAACTTGTAGGGAGATCTGAAGTTAGGAAAATTAAGAACAAAGCTGTTCAAAACATTAGGAAAAGCAAGATGAAATAAAAAGCACCTGATGAAGCCAGTTTGTTAAAAGGTATCTTTGTCATGGTGCAAAGTGATCTGAGCATACAAGCAGAGAACTGCATTACCTAATCAGCTACCAGCAGTGATTAGAATCCATTTGTGGGGTAAATAAAATGGATCTAACCAACCAAACCAAACTCACTGCCATGAAGTCTATTCATAGTGAGAGGACAGGATAGACCATCTCCTGTGGGGTTCGAAGACAGCAACTGTTTACGGGAGCAGAAAGCCTCATCTTTCTCCCGAGGATTGGCTGGTGGTTTAAAACTGCAGTTAGCTCTGTCCAATATGTAACCCTTCGATCAACAGGGCTCCTTAAATGAAATGGAAGGGGAGCTCAGAAGGAGAAATGTAATGGCAGTGATGCATAGTAAAGCTGATAAAAAAGTAACACTCAGTTTAGGTTTTTGAGAATGAAAAAAGCTGACTTCTAACAGTTATTCCACTCCTCTGACTAGATTTCTTGGTGTTTATTTTATTGTAAGGAGGTCTAGTGATACTGTGGACGAGGCACTGGGTTGCTAACCGCAAGATCAGTGCTCCAGGGAAGAAAGATGAGGCTGTCTGCTCCCGTAAAGACACAGTCTCAGAACGATGGGACAGACTCGAATCGATGGCAGTGGGGGGTTTTTTTCCCTTCTCGTTTCATTATGGCATGTAAAAACCTTACAGTATTCTACTTAAAAAAATCATTTTATTGGGGCTCTTACAGTTCTTATCACAATTTATCCATTCATGTGTCAAGCACATTTATACATATCTTGCCATCATTATTTTCAAAACATTTTCTTTCTACTTGAGCCCTTGGTATCAGCTCACTTTCTCCACTCCCCACCATCTCTCCCCCATGAACCCTTGATAATTTATATACCCACTTTTCTGTTGTCCATCCCCCTAGGAAGGGGTTATATGTAGATCACTGGGATCGGTTCTCACTTTGTTCCCCCACCTTACACTTACCCTCCTGGTATCACTGCTCTCATATTGGTCCTGAGGGGTTTACCTGTTCTGGATTCCCTGTGTTGTGAGCTCTTATCTGTACCAGTGTACATCCTCTGGTCTAGACAAATTTGTAAGGTAGAATTGGGTTCATGATAATGGGGGGGGGGAGTATTAAAGAACTAGAGGAAAGTTGTATGTTTCATACTGCACCCTGACTGGCTCAGCAATTACTTGTTACCCTTCTGTGAGGGGATGTCCACTTGTCTACAGATGGGCTTTGGATCTCTACTCCGCCCTCCCCCTCATTCACATTGATATGATTTTTTGTTCTGGGTCTTTGATGCCTGCCTGATACCTGATCCCATAGACACTTCATGATCACATAGGCTGATGTGCTTCTTCCATGTGGGTTTTGTTGCTTCTCAGTTAGATGACTGCTTGTCTATCTTCAAGCCTTTAAGACTCCAGACGCTATCACTTTTGATAGCTGGGCACCATTAGCTTTCTTTACCACATTTGCTTATGCACCCATTTTGTCTTCAGTGATTGTATTGGGAAAGTGAACATCATAGAATGCTGGGTGATTAGAACAAAGTGTTCTTATGTTGAGGGAGTACTTGAGTAGAGGCCAATGTCCATCTGCTACCTTAATAATTAACATATAAATATATATACATAGACCTAGTTCCCTATTGTTATATGTAAATATATTTACATATGTACATGCCTGTATTTAAACCTCTATAAATGGTATTCTGTTTACTTTCCATGCTTTGTTTTTACCATTTCTCCCTCATATGCTATACTCATCATATAAAATTATCCACAATATCCTTTTGATTCCATGCCTTTTTATAGGTTTATTAAACTTCTTAAAACTCTTGTTCCCTCTGTCTGAAACGTTCTTTCTCTCTCTAGTAAATTCATCAACTGGTCCTTAAAGAGCCAGCTTGAGTGTGACATCCTAGGGCTTCTGATATGCAGTATGCCCTTCTCTGTGCTCTCCTGGCTTCCCTGTGAGTCCTCCTCAGAGCGCACACTTCATGGTCTGCGGTCTTCTGCACTAACTTGCCTCTTGTTACTCAGCTGGAGACAGAAACAAGACTATGATCTCATTTGTACCCCAGGTATCATGGCTTTTAAACCTGTGGCAAAGGTTTAAAAAGGAATAATCCTGGATTAAAAAAAAAAGGGAAAAGAAAAAACAGAAAAGAGCCTGGGAGTTATTCTATACTAGGAACATAGATTTTACGCAACAAAATATATTTCATCAATATAATAGAGAAAATAATATTAGAGAAAAAAATAACAAATATAAAAGATTAGAATGATGATTACTCAGTTATCATTCTAAGTATGTCATTTATCTTCAACTGCACCATAGGCTATTGAAGTAGTTGATTCAAAAAATAAAAGACAATAAAAAGAAGCATTAATTAATATCTTATCTCTACTATATTACTTTATGATTTAATTCTAAAGTCCACGAAGTTCACTCATTGTCTTAGAAACAAAGCAAAACCTTCTTTAAGTTCTGAAAGTCATGACCAGGGAGATTTAACATGCTAAAAGAGCGTAAAACACAGAACATTAGGGTTTATAAGTTTTCAAATTAGCTACTCTTGTGGCATATTCCTAAGCATTCAAGAGTCAAAATATAAACCAGATCGCCATTCAAAACACTATTTCTGAAACAAAAAAATAAGACCCTTATAATTACTCTCAGAGTTTATCAGGATCCTAATAAACCAAACTGAAGGGTTACATATGTGACTTTTTACATTTTAAGAGCTAACGTAGGGGGAACAGATGAAAGCATAAAATACTTATCTTTAAAGTTCATTTTATAACTAACGAATCATACTTTATAAAGGAGTTTTTCCTTCAATTAGAAGGCCCCCCCCCCCCCACACACACACACACGCCCCCCCGCCCCGCCCTGTCTATAAAACATCCCTGAACCAGCTGCCGGAAGAAGCACATGGTGTTGGGCCCCCCCCCCCCCACACACACACATAGAAAGTACAGGGCCTACCGTGCTGCTAGTGAGTCTGTTTGTGTAGGCTGTGATGACGCCACATCTGCTCCCAGTGAACAGCTGACAACTGTCAGGGACCCAGGCACAACTAGTCACCTTTGGAAAAGGACAAGTTGAAGATTCTTGTGTGTTAAATGTATGAGAAATACTTCATTTTTATGACAATTACATAAAAATATATAATTGCGAAATCTAAGGTAAATATTTTTACTTGAAATTATCAGAATGGTGTCAGATACATAAGTAAAATCACAAAGTATTGTATAACTTTACACCAGATGTCTAAACAGTTTTAAAATTTGCAATGTACTCTAACACAGTCAATGATTTTACATTTCTCTGTATATAATAAACAGGTGACCAATTTGCTCCTCAGAAATTTAACAAATTCTTGAGTCGATATATTGTTAAACATTTATCTGTCTTTAAATTTTTATTTATTTTTCTCTTTCCTGGTGAGGAGAGCGGGTCGATAGAGCTTTTGCTTTTAAAAGTGTTTAAGACTGTTATGTAGGAGCAGAAGGAAAGACCAACGTGAAGGGAAAAACCCCTTGAGATTCTTCCTTTGCTGCGAAGCCCCGTTGGAACCCTGGGCATGGAAAACTGTGGGCTGTGCAGGCCATGTTAGTTACCCACACTTCTTGACAGGTCTTCTTTTGGGCACTAGCTGACACACAGGGCCACTGCTACTGCTCACAGCAGCTGTTCCCACAGTCACCTCACTTAACCAGGCAGATGACCGGCCATTGTCCATGGGCTCTTTCTTCTCTTGTTTGCATTTCAACATGTCTTTGTGTCTCCTCCTGATTAAAAAGAGGAAGTGTTTCCTCTGATTAAGGGCAGCTCTGCCTCATCCTCCCAATTCCTAAAAATCCTTGTCCTCTCTCTTATAGTTTCAAAGTGTCCTAGCATCTTTTGCTGATATTTTTACCTCATCTACAAATGTGTTCGATGAGAGAATGACTCTCATGTATCCTGGTTCCTTGAAACTCTCAATATACCATCAAGATTTAATTTTGGATCAAATTTTAGTTCTGATTTTCTTTGTTAGGTTCTGTTTATACCTATGCCCTGCCATTGAATAGATTCTGACTAACAGGGACTTCACGTAGGGTTTCTGCGGCTGTAAAAGTCCTTATGGGAACAGATCGCCTTACCTACATCTATAGAGTGGCTAGTGGGTTTGAACTGCTGCTGATGTGTTTAGCAGTCCAATGCTTACCTGATATCATCACTAGGCCTCTGTTCTATTTATAAGGATTGATATTTTACAACTTTTATTTTTCCTTATAGGTTTTCCAAAGAACAAAAGAAAATGGAATAAATGATAAGAGTCTCCCAGAAGGATATAATATATTAGGCAAACTGTCATCTTTCTATTTTCTTATCTCATTGTCCAATGTATGGCCTTATTTTTCAAGAATATATAAAAGAAGACTAAAGACACTATTCTGCTTTTAGTTTTCATTGAAAACTCAGCTGATATTTCAAAATCTTTAATTCTTAAAAATATCACGAAAGAAAAATGAACAGTCTCACAATTATGAAACACACCAGAAGATGCATGTAAAGACAACATAGGACTATAGACTCTAATCATGATGATGAAAGTGATTATATAAGTGAAATCTCAAACTGTCTCCATATGATGACGTTCTAGATGAATTTTCTCACACCCAAGAATTAAGGGGAGAATCTATTTCTATGGATGAAAATGAAATATAGCATCCTCATCCAGTTAGTCATTTGACACCAAGTACCCTATCACACACTATTTTGCTACGAGAATCCGGATGATCTTATTTTAGTACAGGGTCTATGAAAGTATTCTTTTATCATCTATGATATGTGTATACCACACGAGGCTGTTTTCCACCATCCTTTTATTGTTATTCCTATAAGTCACTGGTAAAATGATTTTAAAATGAAAAAAATTAAAAGTGTCCTGTGGAGCCAGATAACGATTGGTTATGATTCCGGTATTTTGAGGGTTAAGAAAAGAAGTCACTGTTCTTTCTTTCACTGCCAAAAGTTTCTCCATAGTAGTTTACTCTCTCCCTAAAGTGCGCAGGAACAGGAGTCCATTTTAGGACACAGGTATTGACTGCATGTAGTAGAAGTAGAGGGGAAAAAAGGATTAAAAACGGCTTTCAATAGAAGTCAGAGAAAAAACACATGTTGCATACAATCTGTTTTCTGTTCTTGAGTTGACTCTGACTCTGAGCAACCCTATAAGATAGAGTAGTGCTGTCCATAGAGTTTCCAAGGCTGCAGCGCTTTACAGCTTCCTCCTGCAGAGTAGCCGACCTCTCAGTGAGCTGCAGAGTTCAACCACTGTGCCAGGAGGGTTCTTTGCATACAATCGAGAGCCTGTGAAAGCTTAGCAGTACTATATTTCATATTTTACAAAGGATATTCACAAAAATTGGAAAAAATTTACAATATTCTTATGAGTAGTGTGATACTATTACTTCCCTTTTAAAGATAAAGAAACTCAAGTTTGCAATATCCAGTTACATGTCCAAGATAACATAATTAGTAAATATCAAGATAAAAGACATAATTCAAATCAGAAGGCTTTAAGCTTAATATTCCTTCAACTATATCATTATGCTTGATCTGGCTCATTTAGTGTGAATCAGGTATACAAGGTAGTTACAGAAATGACCCAGCGAACCTGCGGTAAATAGACAGTGAGAAGAAAGGAAGCCGAGGTTGCTGAAGTGTCGGGCGTTAGCTGACATGAAGAGGTCATGTGAAGCCCTCTCGGTGAGACAAGAGAGAAAACAGCCTGTGACCTACTCACCGCAGCGGCAGCGAGGAGTCGGGCCAGCACCATAAATGAAGCACACAGCCCACACCACCCGTTTGTTGGATTAGACTTCATGCAAGATATTAACAACGAGATACTACGAGTTTGACTCCCTTTGTAAGCATTATATTTAATGATTATAAAAATACAAAAGCTCACCTGGTACTGTTGTGAACTCTGTATAAAGTTTATTGGAGGCTCACTTTGTTTACTCTTCAATCTTAGAATGTTATCGGCATACCCCCAGCTCAGGATGGCTGACCACTGAATGTCAGTACTGTTCATGCTTCTCACACCTCAAGAAATAAAAGTATCAGATTGTTACTGCTTCATTATTTTTTGATAGCTTAATGAGTAGAAGATTGAAGGTTGAAGTTTATATAGTAGAACACAATTCCATTCAAATGCAGCTCATTTTATATTCCTGTAACATTAACAGGATTCTAAGGTTGTTACTGATTATTATTATTTTTCACTCAAGGTATTTTTGGCTGGTATTTACTTGATGTAGACCTAAAATTTGTTAAGAAATTCTTTAAAAAGATGCTAGTCAAAGTACCCTATCATTTCTTTTAAAAATGAAACATGAATTAGTTACTGCTTAAATAACTATTCTAGATGCCCCCTGCTGAATAATCCGTACAAATAGTTTAAAGCTAAAGAGAGATATTGCTAGGGCAGAAGTAACACTTGCCCTGAGAATGGGTAATTAATCCTGTCAACTGCAAGGACGTTGTATGGAGACCTTATTTGACAAGACAAGCTTCTGTCATTATCTCTCCCTCTCTCTCAATTTCTTTTACTGACCCAATCAATATCCTTCTCTCAACAGGACTTTAAAAAATTAGTACCAGGGGCTAATCACAGATAAGATTGTGATGCCCCAGGGGGATGATCGATAAGACTCTCTACCTTAAATTAACAAGGAGGTTTGAATGGAGCCAAAGGCAAATAAAAGAAAAAAAGAGGAAGAAAGAAAGAAATCTCACATATTCAGCAATGGGCTTTGGATTCACACTAAATCCTAACTCCAATTTAAGAACAATTTGTTCTTACATCATGGCCCTGCTTGATACTTGCCCTAAAGAAGGGAACACAGAAGATAGGGGTGCTATAGCAAAATGTGCTGAAGAAATTAGATGGTGCCCAGCTATCAGATAAAGTAGGGTCTGGAGTCTTAAAGTTCTGTCTCCAAACAAGCAGCCATCCAAGTGAGATGCCAACTAAGTCCACATGGAAGAAGCACACCATCCTCAGTCACTGAAGGGTTGTAAATCATATAATCAGAAATTGAATGAGGGATTAGTCTAAGAGCCTTAAATGCGAGAATCTGGTTTTCAGAAGGCTATGGATGACATTGGGAGCCCAAGATAAATCTGTGGAAGCTGCACAGGAAATGGGCCTCCAGTGACCTCCCTTTCTCTACAATGAGGGAGGGGAGGAAAGTGGTTACTCCACAGAGTGCACTGGAGAGAGGCGTACAGCAGATCAGCGGGACACACTGGACTTGAACAGTTAAAACGCTGTCAGTTGATACCCCCTCTGATGCACGCTGGACCTGATCTGTTTCCAACATTTTCTTTGTTCATATTATGGCTTATCTCAGAGGTGCTATGTCATTGGGGTCACCCTTTTGAAGTGGTGTTATATGCTTTTCGGCATAAGAAACCCAGGATTGATGAACCTATGGGACAGCAAGTAGAATAAGGGTCTCAGGGGTTGGGTAGGGGGTGGGTGCAGTGGGGGTTGGGGCAAGTTCACTGCTTGACGTGAACTGAACTATGGAATGATGTGGCATATGTATTAACTCCCAGTTAATAATAGATTAAGATAATAAATAATACTATGCCCTGGGGCATAAAATCTGGCAATGGTGACATACTTGTCTATGCCATTCTCAGTGTATGCATGTTGGTGTGTTGAACGCAGCAAAATGATATGAATGAGGTACTGCCCTTGGAATTTAGACTGCTTTAAGTTCCTAAAGGAAAGAGAATGTACATTATTTAATCTAGTAACTAACAATATACTCAGCATGTAGATGAGTATAACACACGATTTTTTAGTAAGACAATAATACATTAATGCCAAAATGCATAATTTCTTTTTGCTCTGTTGAGTATAATTTCCACTTGTTGACACCAGCTTAATAACAAAGGAATTAGAATATACTTGGTAAACATAGCAGCAACCAAACCCAACCAGCTGTTGTCAAGTTAATTTTTACACAGAGCACAAGTACAGTAGAACTGCCCCATGTAGTCTCCCAGGCTGTAAGTCTTTCAGGAAGCTGCTGCGTGTTTCTTCTACAGAATGGCTGGCAGTTTGAAACGTGAGCCCTGGTGGTGCAGCAGGTTGTGAACGAGGCTGCTAATTGCAAGGTCAGCCGTTCAAAACCATCAGGTGTTTTGAGGTATAAAGATGAAGCTTTCTGCTCCTGTAACTATTTACAGCCTCAGAAGCCCAAAGGGACTGTTGTACTCTCTCTGACAGGGTTGTAGAGTTGGAATTAACTCAATGGCAGTGGGCTTGGAGTGAGGGGAATGAACCAAGTACTATAGATCTTGGGGCTTTTCAAAATCTACCGTAGTGCCTAGCATACTGCAGGTGGTTCTATGAGCCAAGTGCTCAGAGGACCAAGTATATTTAATAGGTTCCTCAATTTCCAACAATACAAGGTGCACGATCTTTTTTACAGAAAAGTAAACTTTTCCTTTATTTATTAGAATGGTGGAATTCCTGGGTGGAGTAAATGTTTAACATGCTCAGGTGCTAACCAATAGGTGCAGCTTAAGTACAATCAGAGCCACATCAGAACAAAGGCCCACGTATCAGCTCCTGAAAACTCCTGTGAACCACAGTTCTAGTCTGATACACATGGGTTCACCAGGAGTTCAAATGGACTGGGTAATAGTTATTAAAACAATGAATCTTAAATAAAAGTTTGAAACAAAATTGCTTTTCCAACATGCGTAGGCTTGGACTCAGGTCTCAAAAGCTCTGATGCAATATATCTCAAGTAGGACCCAAGTGACTATATTGTGGGAATTACCTGAGGTACAGTTCTCAAGTAATTGGCCCATAGTGAACTTAAGATAATTAAAACATCTCAGTGTAGCTGCTATATTGTATTATACATGTATAATTAACAATTAACCTAGTTGTCTTCTAAAACAATAAACGTAAGACTTTCCAGGTGTTCGCACATAACTTTCACCTGCATGTTGCACTCTTGATCATTCACCACCTTGCAGAATGCCCGTGGAAACTGCTAGACACTGGTGCATGCAGTGCACAACACTGTCCTAGGTCCTGGCCCCAAGGTGCTTATAGTTTTATTGGGCATTTATTTAGCACTGAGATTGAGCCAAGCACTGTCTTATGCATTTCTATATATTATTTCACTTAATCCTCATAATAAATTACTCTGAGGTCAAGTCTTATGATGATTCCCATTTTACGGGTCAAAAGTCAGGATTGGGACAGTTAAGTGACTCTCCCAAGGTCACAGAGTTGGGATACAAATTCAGGCAAAGTCATAATCATCATATTAAAAGTCGTCTTAGTACCTATCTAGGTTTTTTTTAAACTCCAAAGGCATTTTTCAAGAAAGTAAAGTGTAATTTGAAATCCATACAGTTATTAAGGGCACACTAAGGACTTTGATTGTAGTAGCATAAATAAGATAGTTTGAAAATTATATAATGTATAAGCCCCATAATGCTAAATAATAACACAAGCTCTTCTACTTGATACAGATAAGCCTCAAACTATTCTAATCTTTAGCCTCAATCTACTCTAAGTTTTGTTAAAAGGTAAATCATTCACAAGCTTTGGTATTTTAAGTTATAGTAGTAAACTATCTAGATATGTCTTACAACTCATGGTAAAATACTGATGAGGGGGGGAAAAAACCACTGATAGCACAATAATTACAATTCAACAGATGTGACCTGATCTTACCTAACTAAGCTTAGATGAAATGTTATTCATCCTTTCTTGTTCCGAACAACTATAAAAGCAATCAATTGTTGCACGATAGCCATGAGGGTGCCCCATTAGCACACTTAATTCCTTTAGGGGACTGATGTTGTAAGCAGCCTTGTGTTGCAATGCTGGCAGAAGGCTTCCTGGACCTCAGGAATGTGATAAAAAGTACATGTAGAATGTACTGCTAGAAGCTTCCAGTCCACAAGCTGGCTTGGAGGCAAATTTTCAAGCAACTTGACTCATCAGAAGCATCATTTCGAGGGACTGTCATTTAGAAATGTGAACAGGGCCTCTGTAGCACTGGAGGAGTCACCAAAGAACTGATCTTTAGGTGTATATGTCTTTAAAAGCCTACAAGGGGCTCCAAAATGTTTGTGAAAAACCTGCAGTTATCTTTTAATTTCATTTTTACCACCTTGTACTTTCAAGGCTATCTTGACCCCCTTGTTTCTGTTTGTTTTATCCCATGCCTCTACCTTGGATTTGTTGTTTTATAGCTGCAGGCCCTCAAGGTAAAGGATAAATGTCTACTGAAATGATAATGCTTTTCTTCTGGGAGCGTAACCATTCATTCTTGTGTCTGTTAAACATGACTTATTTCAAACGGTGCTACATTCATTCTTACATAAATTCCAACAGTGCATCAAATAAGCATAATCTGAGCAGATATTCTCATGTAGGACTTAGAAAACATTACAAATAAAAGAAAACAACACAGATAAGGTTGAAACATTCAAATCTCATGAAAGATATACTCAGTATGATTTTCTTTACACTTTTATTTTACCTTGTTCTTTGCTGTATGTCATCAGAAGACAGAAATTTCTAGACAAGCCACAGATAGCTCTGGTGGGCAGAGCCTGCAGAGAGCCAAATCTCTCTCCATGTGGTTGGCTGAAACAGACCACAGGCACTGGAGCACTTGGGGAGCCGACATACTCCCCCCACTTCAATCCTTTTATCCATGACAAAGGACTCTAAAACCAAGGAAAATAACAAGAAACAAGGTTTTAAAAAAAGTAGTAAAGTGATGCTATTTTAAATAAAAATACTAAGCAAGGTTAAGACACACTAATCTGATTATAAACTCTTTGAGGTCAAGAATTGCTTTATACTTTCTTTACTTCTCTATGCTTACGATATAAAAATATGTACTCCCTATTTGGTTTTAATTCTGTGGCTCTAGCCTAGCTTACATGAAAATATTTTATTAAAAATGAAAAAAAGCTGCTTAAAATTTGAATGGATTGTAACAAAAACATTTCTTTCAACCTTGCTGTAACACCTACTTGAAAGTTGATAACTAAAGGAGGATTATGATTTGACAGTTTAACAGGACTATCTATCCAAGAGAAAGAGAGGAAGGGGAGGTGGGAGCGATGAAAGGGGAGAGGAGGGTAGCAGGGAGCTGTTTGCTGTTGAGTCAATTCCAACTCAGGACAGAGGAGAACTGCTCCATGGGTTTCCTAAGCTGTAATCTTTATAGGAGCAGATTACCATGTCCTTTCTCCCATGGAGCAGCTGATGATTTTGAACTGCCATCATTTTGGTTAGAAGATCTGTATTTTAATCATAGTGGTACTTGGGCAACCCACCCCCCACCCCCTCCCACATGCTTCAAACATTCATAGTAAATTCCATTATTTTTTAATCTTTAAATTCCATTTTTAAAGTACGTTTAAAGCATCTATCATGTCTATGTATAGAATAGAATGGAAACCAGTGGGTTTCCAAGACTGTGACTCTTTACGGGAGTGAAAAGCCCTATCTTTCTTCCCAGGAGGGCGGCTGGAGGTCTTGAACTGGTGACTGCGTTTAGCAGCCAAAATGAGTAACCACTATGTAACTACGAGGGCTCCTCAAATTAAGTACACACATACATACCCACACATAGATATGAAGTTAAGTAAAAAACAGTATTGCTAAAAAATAACAGGAACATTTATTAAACAAAAAAATATCAAAATGTGTGGCTATTGTTTCTTGACATGTTCTCCATCTAGGTTTATACACTTCTGAAGGTGGTGGTTCCAGCTCTCTAACCCTTCCCTAAAGAATTTTACATTCTTCGATTCACACCATGTCACATGGCAGTTTTGGCATTTTTGAGTGACTTAAAACATGTTCCTTTTCAATGTTCTTTGAGTTTCATGAACAAAAATAAATCTGAAGGGGCAAGATCAGGGTTGCAGAGTGAATGGGATGAGGGACACTGTAGTAGTTACATAATCTGGTGTCAATTTGAGGATTAAAAGTGAAGGGGTAGAGTTTCGCCTGTCAATCAGATCGCAGCTTGATGACCTCACTTGGAGGCACTAAGGAGATATATTGCTGGAGGCGGGACACACGCTCACTCCCTGCGAGACATCCCTATGGAGAAGGCACATAGAGAGATGGAGCCAGACCTCTGGAGCTGAAGAAGCCTCGTGGAGAGACCTGCCAGTGCTGAAACACTTACAATGCCACTGGGATCCACAAGACTTCCCACCCACTGGCCTGTGATCTTCCTGCATTGTTTCACTGCATGTGTTTCGGGGGTCTAAAGAGGACTTTATAGATTGGTATTGGACTTACGGACTTTATCTGGACTTGGCTGGGATGTTTTCTCAATATTCAACTGCTCTTGTATATAAAGCTTTCTTATACACTTATGAGTGTTTATGGATCTGTTTCTCTAGTCTACCCAGACTAACACACATCCCAATGAAATTTTCATATGACAACTCTTGTTACCCTTTAAAATGAGCAAGTATGTCTTTGTGATGAAAACATTTCCTAGTCACAACTTTCTTGGACTATTTCTCACCAATTCTGTTTTTAATTTTTTTAAAACTTCTTCCTATTAAGGCCCTATAATGGTGCTGTGTCCTTCAAGAAACGCTATGGAGATCATCCCTTTGGAGTTCCCATGCAGAACAATTGCCATTCTTTCTTAGCTAACTTCTCTGCCTTGATTTGACTGGTTCAGCAGATCCCCTTGGAAGCCACTGTTCTAATTAGACTTTCTTCTGAAGGTCCTCTAACAAGTATAAGACTAATGTATTACTGTGAGAATTTGTTTGCTGCTATCCACTGATTACAGACACATGCTTAAACATTTTGTTGGGAATAAAGCCATACATATATGAACTGGAATCTTAGTAGAAATACTTCTTGACTTAACTTCAAAAGTACACACACACACACACACAAGCTTCAAAAATTCATGGAAACATTTCATATCTTTAAATTCCATTTTTCCCACAAATGTTTCAAGCCCGTTAAACTCTGTGTGTGTGTGCATATACATATATTTATATATGGCAAATAGAAATCAAGATGACATCCAATGTACATGGATAAATAAGATATGAAAGATGCCATAAGGATAAAGAACTCCTAACATAAAAATATCCATTTGCCGAAAGAATCCATACTTCACACTATACATAGAAATGAACTCAAAATGGATCAAAGACCTAAATGTTAAACCTAAAACTATAAAGTTGTTGGAAGATAACCTAGGGACAAAGCTAGGGGGTACTAAGTTATAGCATAAAGTGACTATCAAACTAAAAGGGCACTAACAATAGGAGATAAACTGCATAATCAGGACTTCCAAAAATTAAGTATGTATGCTCATCAAAACACTTCACCTAAAAAGAAAACCTACAGAGAAATATACTTTGGTAAAGATATATTGGATAAGGGCCTACTCTTTTAAAATATGCATATATATTTATGCATATATAACTTCAACACCTCAACAATAAGACATAGACTCTACTAAAACAAAAGTGGCAGAGGACATGAATAGATACTTTACCAAAGAGGACACACCAGCAGCTAAAAAATCTATGAAAAGATGTTTTTGATTACTAGCCATTAGAGATTTACAAAGTGAAACTGCAATGAGCTATCATCCCAGCAAAAATGGCACTGATTAAAAAAAGAAGAAGAGAAGACAACAAATGCTGGCAAGAGAAATTAGTACAACACGACCAAGACAAATGAGGACACTGAGAAGTATGTGCATCGGAGACTGAAGGCTTAGATGGTGTCCAGCTACCACTACTTATGGCTCTGTCCAGAAACATAATAGAAGGTCCTAGTTAGAATGGGAGAAAAATTAGAAAATCCAAATTCATAAAAAGATCAAACCTATTGGACTGACGGAGACTGAGGAAACTCCCGAGCCTACTGCTCTATAATATCCTTATAACCTGGAATAGAGCCACTTCCAGAAGTAACCTTTCAGCTAATGATAGACAGGCCTATGAAATAAACAATAACACCTGAACAGGATGTGCTCCTTAGAACAATCAACTACATGAGGACAAAGAGACAGCATGGGCCCCAGACCAAAGATGAGAAGGTAAAGAAGGGCAGGGGAGAGGAAGGCAGGGAGGAAATGGGATGAGTGCTGATACATTGCAGGGTGGGGTGGGGTGAAACAACCAATGACACTGAACAATGTGTGTAGGAATTCTGGAATGGGACAATACAGTGCTTTGTAAATGTTCATCTAAAGCAAAATAATGGTAAAAGGAGGAAAGATATCAAGGGCACCAGAGGCACATTAAGTTCGCTGGGTTCTTAGCACTTAGCATGCACCTTGCTTGGCACACAGTGGGTTCTCACTAAGTGTTTGCTGAATGAAGGAAAATTGCTCATCTATGGAACACACTGAGAGGACCAGAGGCCATTGCATGTTAAATGTGGAACATTCATACTTTTTAAAAAAATTTAAAATATCAAATGATTTTACTTTTAATTATTTTTCTTTAAATTCTTCAGAAGAACCATGCTATAACAATTAGAAAAATATAATATACTAGGCAATTTTCAGCCTTTTTTTCAAAAAACAAATGAATGAAAAAAGTTGGTATCAC